TTCCCTACAGTTTCTGTCCCTGGTAGTGCCCGGATAAATTCTACGTGACTAAGGAACTTGGCGGATTTGCCTCAGAGGCTCCCAGCAGCCTACAGTTGTCAGCCCCACACCCAGAGCTTCAGTTTGCCGTTTGTCGAGCTCTTTGCATCCTTGGCCAGTGTAGGGTAAAACAGGGATCAAGCTCCAGAGTCCTTTTCCCCGAGTGGAAATGGAGAGGTGGGTGTTGGGGGAAACCCGGGCTCCCCGCTACTGCGGGTTCCAGCCTAGGGCCCTGGGACACCTGCTAGAAGACAGCTCCAGGACCCCATGGCTACTTCCCCACACCTTCCCCAGCCCCTTCTCTCAATTTTGTCCTCCTAGTTGTGGGCTCCTTTCCTCCTACTCATAACACCACTCTCCTCCTTCCTCCCAGCTGCACACCCCCTACCACTGCCCACAGCTTCTTTTCTAGCCAGTCTGAATTGGTTTTCTTAATTGCCCCCAGGTGTCCTAATTGGTGTAGGCTGCCTGACTCTGCCGGCCTGGTCAATTAGCCCCAGGTTTTCCTCCACCCCCATTGCCTCTGCTGGTTCTAAACCAGCCCCTCCCTGTTACCCTGGGAACAGAGATCTCCTCAGTGTGAGGCTTATACAGCTCCTCTCCATTGCTTTCTTATAGCCGTCTGCTCTGACCTTGTCACAGTGTTTGTGTGTGTGTGTGTGTGTGTGTCTTGTGTGTGTTTTAGAAAACTCTGGAAAGTGATCTGGAGCTCCTGCAGAACCCTGATCTAGTTTACACCGTCAGCGCCGAAGAATACTGGGAAGGGAAGTATCTCACAAAGGAGGAGACAGGTAACGTGCACTGGTTTCCTCTTACCTGAGTTGCTAACGCTTCATTGCCCAGGGTGCTGCCTCTGCTTAAAATCACAGAACCCCAGGGCTGGCAGAGACCTCAGGAGGCATCAAGTCCAGCCCCCTGCCCAACGCAGGACCCACCCCAATTCAATCATCCCAGCCAGGGCTTTGTCCAGCTGGGACTTAAACACCTAGAATCATAGAACCATAGAGCTGGAAGAGACCTTACAAGGTCATCAAGTCCAGCCCCCTGCTCTAGACCAATCCCAGTGCTTCACCACCCACCTAGGGAAATATTTTATCCTACTCTCCAACCTAGACCTCTACCACTGTAACTTGAAACCATTGCACCTCGTTCTGCCATCACTGCTGAGAACAGCCCCTCTCCATCCTCTTTGGAACCCCCTGAAGTTATTTAAAGCTGCTCTCAAATCCCCCCTAACTCTTCTCTTCTGCAGACTAAACAAGCCCAAATCCTTCAGCCTCTCCTCATAGGTCCTGTGCTCCAGCCCCCTAATCATTTTGGTTGCCCTCCACTGGATCCTCTCCCACTGGACACTCTCCAATGCGTCCACATCCTTTCTATAGTGGGGGGCCCAGAACTGGACACAATACTCCAGATGTGGCCTCAGTAGAGCCGAATGAAGGGGAATAATCACTTGTCTGGATCTGCTGGCAATGCTCCTCCTAATGCACCTCAATATGCCATTAGCCTTCTTAGCTACAAAGGCACCACTCATATCCAGCTTCTCCTCCAGTGGAATCCCCAAATCCTTCTCTGCAGAACTGCTCCTTAGCCAGTCAATCCCCAGCCTGTACCAATGCTTGGGATTCTTCCATCCCAAGGGCAGGACTCTGCACTTGTCCTTGTTGAACCTCAGCAGGTTTCTTTTGTCCCAATCCTCTAATCTGTCCAGGTCACTCTGGACCCTATCCCTGCCCTCCAACATATCTACCTCTCCCCCCTAGCTTAATGTCACCTCCAAACTTGTTGAGGGTGCAACCCTTCTCCTCAGCCTGGTCATTAATAAAAATGTTGAACAAAACCAGCCCTAAAACCGATTCTTGGGGCCCCCCGCTTGAAACTGAAAACCAACCTGACATCAAGCCATTGATCACTACCTGTTAGGCCCAACAATCTCGCCAGTTTTCTATCCACCTAATCGTCCATTTATCCAATCCCACACTCCCTGAACTTGCTGGCAAGAATATGGTGGGAGACCGTATCAAAAACTTTGCTACAGTCAAGGTATATCACATCCACTGATTTTTGACAAAGCCCTGGCCGGGTTGATTGAGTTGGGATTGGTCCTGTCTAGAGCAGGGGGCTGGACTTGACCTTCTGAGGTCTCTTCCAGCTCTATGATTCTATAAGTGCCTCAAAATGGATTTCTTGAGGATCCCTCCATTATTTTTCCAGGGACTGAGGTGAGGCTGACTGGTCTGTAGTTCCCTCGATCGTCCTTCTTCCCTTTTTTAAAGACGGGCCCTACATTTGCCTTTTTCCAGTCATCCAGAATCTCTCCCGATCCCCACGAGTTTTCAAAGCTAATGGCCAAAGGATCTGCAATGACATTTACCAACTCCCTCAGTACCCTCGGATGCATTAAATCTGGACCCATGAATTTGTGTATCTCTAGCTTTTCTAAATAGTTCTTAGCCTGTTCTTTCTCCACCAAGGGCTGCCCCCCTCCTTCCCATACTGCATTGCCTAGTGCAGCAGTCAGGGAGCTGACCTTGTCTGTGAAGACAGAAGCAAAAAAGTACTTCAGCTTTTCCCACATCATCTATCACTGGGTTACCTCCCTCCTCCAGTAAGGCCCCCACACCCTCCCTGATCACCCTCTTATTCTAACATGTCTGTGGAAACCTTTCTTGTTTCCCGTCACATCCCTTGCTACCTGAAATTCCAATTGTGCTTTCACCTCCTTGATAAGTCCCCTGCATTCCCAAGCAATATATTTATACTCCTCCCTGGTCATCTGTCCAAGTTTCCACTTCTTATAAGTTTCCTTTTTGTGTTTAAGCTCACCAAGGATTTCCCCGTAAGCCAAGCTGGTCCCCTACCATATTTGCTTTACTTACTGGGCATCGGGATGGTTTGTTTCTGCATCTTCAATAAGGCTTTAACATCTAGCCAACTCTCCTGGATGCCTTTCCCCCTCATGTTACATCCCAGGAGATCCTGTTCTCTGAGTGAGCCAAAGGCTGCTTTTCTGAAGTCCAGGATGTGTATGTTGCTGCTCCTCTTTCTTCCTTTGGTCAGGATCCTGAAATCTACCATCTTGTGGTCACTGCTGCTAGGTTGCCACCCACCTCTACTTCCCCTACTAGTTCCTCCCTGTCTGTGAGCAGCAGGTCAAGCTGCGCACGGCCCCTGGTCGGTTCCTTATCTTCTTGTTGAGCAGCAGGTCAAGCTGCGCACGGCCCCTAGTCGGTTCCTTATCTTCTTGGTAATGTGCTGATCCCCAACATTCTCCAAAACCTTCCTGCATTGTCTGTGTCCTGCTGTATCAGTTTCCCAATAGATGTCAGGGGGATTAAAGACCCCTGAAAACCAGGGCCTGCGATGTAGAAGCTTTTCTTAGTTGTCTGAAGAAAGCCTCACCTGCCTCACCCACCTGATCTGGTCTCCAGCAGACACCGACCACGACATCACCTGGGCCCGCTAATGCTGGCCTGGCCCGGCTTCACATCCTGTTGCCAACCTACTGCCCCAGTGGCCCCCAGGGTTTCTAGCTGGGACCACCTGGTGGCTCTACCACCACTGGGCATTTCCTGAGGTTTCCCCCTGGGGCCACCTGCCTCCGCCAGCCCCACTTCAGTGGGGGTTGGGTTATCAGGTCACCCCCGCCCTGCTGCCAAAAAGGGTTTCCCAGATTTCCTGGCATCAGCAGCCCAGCTGCAGCCAGGGGTTCGCTGGCTCAGACCAGGACTTCCTGACTGCCTGGCCCCCTGATGCTGGGGTTCCTTGGCCAGGGCCAGGGTTCCTCAGCTGCTGTTGGGCCAAGACAGGGCTCCTCAGTCCCCCGCTTCTCTCCACTGGCTCCCACCTCTGCCTCCAGGACCCTCTGGCCCAGCGACATCCAACCATTGTAAGCACGAGATCACTTTTTGAATTTCAGTGCAATCCAAGATCTACCTCACACCCAAATACCCTGGCCCCGCCTCCTTCTGTGAGGCCCCGCCCCGGCTCACTCCCCCTCCCTCCCTTTCACTAAGCAGGGGCAGAGGGTTGGGGTGCAGGCTCCGGTCTTGGATTAAGGGATTTGCAGTGCGGGAGGGGTTCTGAGCTGAGCTCGGGGCAGGCAGTTGGGGTGCTGGAGGGGTCCTAGGTGCAGGCTCTGGGAGGGGTGCTCAGGGCTGGGGCAGGGGTTTGGGGTGCAGGAGGGGTTCATTCCTGGGGAGGGGTTTCAGGATGTGGGCTCTGACTGGGCCCTGCTTATCTCAGGTGGCTCCTGGGTGGCGGTGCAGTGGGGTTAAGGCAGGCCCCTGCCCCACTCCCAAAAGCAGCCAGCAAACTCCCTCCCACGTCCTGCTGTGCCCCCTCTCTGCTCTGTGGAGAGAGATACAGGGTGGGGGGGGGGCACCTTGACAACAGCCCCTCCTCTCCCTCCCCTGCCCTGCCCAGAAAGCAGGAGGCTCCCGAGGGGGCAGCTCTAAGGCAGAGGGCAGGAGGTGCCCAGCAGTGGGAGGGGCAGGGCAGGGAGCTGCACTTGATAACAGCCTCTTGGCCAAATCGGTCAGGATTCCCTGTCCGAGGCTCCAGGATCTACCGGTAGATCCCGACCGACTGCTTGGTGACCCCTGACCTGGGAGGTTCCCCCAGCACTCGGACCCGTTGTTCTTTTGCTGCTCCCGGAGGTGGTAGCGAGGCCGTCGACCGCGCTGCGTCCCCGTTGGGGGTCCGGTCGCCCTTGCTGCACCGCGCAGGGCACGAAGCTTCGCACAGCACAGCCCCACACCCTTCGCCCTGCTGTCCCCCACTGGGCTGGCGGCCCGGCTCACCTCTGCCTCTCTGTGCCCTTCCAGAGATCCCCAAGCTGAGAGCGCGCGTCAGGACTGTCTACCACAAGGAGAAGAAGAAACAGCTGGAGGGTTATATGTCTGAGGTTCACAGTGCTGTCCTGCTGGCCCAGAACAACTTTACCAAAGAGGCGATGGTATGGCTAGAACGGCCGGGGGGAGAGAGGAAGGGGATGTTCTGATCTGCCTGCTGCAGGGGATATTACCCTCTCCTCACACCGCAGCCGCTTCCCTGCGCCTTCTCTCCATTGCCTCTCCCAACCCTGGGCCTTGGAGTCAGGCTGCCCGCTCTCCAGGTCCTAACAGGGAACAAATGCAAAGACTGGGCTCCGAAAAGCTAGGAATGAGCTGGCCAGCATGTAAATGCATCACTGCCCCGGTGGGCGGAGCTGGAGCTGTTCAGCTGTGTGCCATAGTCCCCGGACTGCTGACGGTTAATAGGGATGGTTCTGGAGTTCCAATTAGAGAAGGGGGCTTTGTTTTTGACCACCATGGGCTGTCTCTGCAAAAGCAGCCAAATGCTGGAGCTTAGCCAGTTGCCCTGCTGTCACTTCCCCACCAACCCTTCCACTGCGGGTGGTGGGTACGCTGGGCAGGGCAAGGTGTTGCCTTCCCAAACTGCCATCCAAGCTCTGGCCACACTCTGGGGACAGAGTGTTTCGCCCCTCGCCCCACACACCAGTTCCCAGTGCTCTGGGGAGGCTAGCGCCAGACACCGCCCAGCTTCCTAGTGGTGATGGGGAGAGGTGGGGGATGGGGCATTGACAGAAGGGGAGGGACATGAGCAGAAGGGGCGGGGCTTGCCTCCCTTAGCCCTACCTTCACCCACTGCCCAAGCCCTGACCTCTCCCCTTGCAGCAGCCTCCAGTGCCACGTCGCACTCGAGGGCTTTGGCTCCGTACCAACGCAGGACGCCCCTGGCTGGACGGGTGACTCCCTCTTCCAGCGCATTGTGCTCCTCAGGTGCCTGCCAGGCAGGGGCTGTTTGAAGCCAGGCCCGCGCGGCAGGATCTAGAGAGCAGAAATCTGGACAGGCCCCTTCATTTTGCCTCCTGCCTCAGCGACGCAGTGACGTGGCCTCTGCCCTTCTGTTGTTGCAGGATCTCTACCAGCAGAGAGAGCTGGAAAGCTTCATGGAGGGCAAGATCGAGGCTCTGGAGAAGGAGATTGAGAAGTGTTTTGCCCAGCTGGAGCAGCTCCTTCACAGAGGCCTGGAGGAAGCAAAGTTCTGTCATGCTGAAGTGCTCCCGCAGCTCATTTCGGTGAGTCCACTGAGCCCACGTGGGCAGCTTCCATTCTGTGGCCACCAGCTGCCTCCGCCATGGCATCTCTGTGACTGCAG